CCTAATTTTAAAAGGATAGTCTCGACATTTATTTATTTGTTTTATTTGCATTTTAAAATTATTTAATTGATTAATTGGCTATTTGTTTATTTGTTTAATTTAATTAAGTGTTTAACTGTAAATTGTGTGCTTATTTGAATAATTTGTATTTAAATGGTGATTTGTTTGCTTATATGATGATGTGTACTTTGTGTAATTAGTTGTTAAATTAAAATATTTTATTTTATATTTTTTTTTTATATAAGGGAGTTGGATTTGGATGGTAGTCATGGACCAAACCCATGGGTCACATAAACTATTTGGATAGAAGATTAAACGGGTACAAATGGTTACCTATGGATTGGTGGTACATATATATATGGGTATATATGTATATATGAGGAGAATATAATAATTATTATCATTAATGTTAATAGTTAGTAATATTAAGTATTATAGTCAGTATAACAATATATATATAGTTATAAAATATATAGTATATTTATATATATGAAGTCACGTATTGACATAGTTATATATATTTATATTTTATATTTTTCCTTTTCTTTAAGTAATTTACCTTATAAGCAGACTTGTACCACAATAAGGATTAGGGTTTAGTATAGCCTATATATACTTTAAGTCTGTAGAAAAGGGGGGTTGTTATAACTATTAGATGATATTAGATTATATACATAGAGAGAGAGAATGTGAGAGGGAGAAATCGAGAGGAGAAAAGAGAGAGCTCGGCCAAAAGGAGGAGGCCGAACCCTAGGAGGAAGAAGGAGAGTTTGGTTCACGGCTGGAAACAAACAGGGAAGAAGGAAATTTAAGGTTTTCATTCCGAAACCTTGAAGTCAAGTTCTTCTTTTACTCTTTCCATTTGATCTGTATTTCTATACATGCCTAGGAGATTCCAGGAAACTTGAACAATTAAAACTGAATAATTATGTATGCTTAATCGGACTAAAATAGAAGATTGTTTGATTTTAGTTTCATATTCTTGTCATGAATGATTATTGAATTTTTGATGCATGAGCTGTTGTTAAAGATGAATCTTTGCATGTTAAAACACTTAAAATAATTTAGTATGGACGTATGGGACTTAGATTGGAGCTTAGGACCCTTAACTATGGAGTTTTTAAGGTTTACAGAGGCTGAACCAACGAAGAATACGAAGTCCAGGCGAACCAAGCCGACTCAGTTACAACTGAGTCGACTCAGTTGCTAACCCAGTCGACTAGGTTGGAATCGAGTTGATTGAGTTGGGGCCTCGGAACGAACAGAGCCAACTCAATTGGAACTGGGCTGACTCAATTGGCAATCGAGCCATCTCGGTTGGAACCGAGCTGACTCGTTTAGGCTGCGACTTAAGTTTTTGAGTTTTAATTGCCAGAATTGTTTTAAACTGGATTTAATCCTTACAGATGGGTTTAATGGACTTGGGAAGATTCCAGAATGCATAATATACCTATATATGCTAAGGAGGTGGATAATTTGAACGTTAAATGGTCTATATGTTGTCTAAATTGAATGAAAGAATTAATTTAATTGCTTTAACAATTGAAATTAATGTTTAAATGGTTTTAAACAATGTTTATAAAACTTTGTATTATTTATCTAAGATGTAGGTTAATTACTTGAAAGGTAAGTTAGCTACAAGCTATTTAAACTATTGTATTGCTTAAATAATTACAATATTTATCTACATGATGTGTATCATATTATCTCTGGATTAATTGATGTATTATTATTCTGTTGCATCATTTATTGGACTGTATAGTTTAATGCACCGATATGGAATGGTGGCATTCTAGGGATGGATTAAGCAAAGAAGTTAAGTCCTACCTATTTATTTGTAAGGGAATGGATTAACCCCAGAGTTAAGTCCTTCTTATTCATGTTAGGCCACTGTAACAGATGGATGACATTTGTTTTATGCTTACGGATTTTATATATATGATTATGGTGCCATGATATGAGCTTAAGTCTCAGGATCATGGTTAGGGTGCGTATATCGCCAGGGATGTGTGGCTAGATATAGGTGTAGTTGTATTCCCTAGTAGGTCTAGGTACTCATGCCCACTATATGTGCGTTTTGTATGTTGCCTACTATTCAGGTTGAGACAACCCTATAGTCTAGTGAGGTTCCTATAATGTATATTTATATATATACTGACTACTAGTTATTGTTGGATTGATTAGGATGTATACATATATCGGGTCTCTATTTGGATTGTAATATAGTAGAACTTGTTCGTGGGCCTGACCCACTCTTATTTTTCAAGTATTCGACAGTTCTAATCTTAGAGCTTGTTCGTGTCGAGTAGAGACAATTGTTCACTCTACTGACTACGTAGGATTTTTCTTTATGTTTTAGATTTGGATTTTATTTTAGTTCAGTTGTTTTAATTGGATTATTATTAGGGGTCCACTGGATGGATCCCCGAGTTGTAATGGTATCGGAGGTTTTGAATATTTTATTGGAGGATTTTTTAATTAAGAAATTCAAGGATTTATTATTTAGTTTTTCTTTCCGCTCATTTATTTATTCTTATTTCTTTTTGTATTCAATGCTTGTTTATTACTTAATTGTTTAATATCCCTTGAGTTTGGGCTTGGGCCTGATCAATCCATATCTCGAATGCGAGGGGTATCACACCAACCTCATTTTCTCTCATCTCCATGTTTGTGTAAGGTAGGGTTTATACTAATTCTTGTTGCTATAGTGATTTTATGTTAATTTCTTCTTGTTGCCATGAATAATTGTTGTACCTAATTCTTTTGTATATCATTCTGCTTTGAGTTGCTCCATGCTTTGGCCATTTTGATTCTCCACCATCCATTGAATTCATTGTTTTGTTGAGAGCTATCTTATATACATACGTTCATATATGCCATGTACTCGTTCTTGGTATCATGCTCCCTTGCCTTCATGAAATCTTTTGCACTTGAAGCCAGATTGTTCTATATATATAGACTGAGGTTATGGTATGTAAAGGGTTACTTTAAATGTGTTATATTGTGGGCTGAAATTGGAGTGGAGTGTTGGTCATTGGTGGTTGTTCTAAGTTAGACTATACTCATTTCCAGTTTTCTTTTCAAATTATCTTTTAAGTCTTCCTTTGTCACAAAGTTTTTATAAGGAGCTGTGGTGCTCCAAATACATTCATATTTTTACCACAAGTACTACCATATGCCTAGTAACTCTCTGCAAAATATTGTTATTTTTGGATGAACAGATTTTTTAAAATAAAAATCTGACAGTGCCTGCAATCCATATTCAAATCGCTGCTGGAAAATAGATTTTAAATAATTTATTTGACTAACTTCTTGGAACTGAATCACTACAAAAATTTCTAGTTTTATACTTATATGAATATACTTTCAAAATAAATTGAGTTTTCCCCATTTCGATGTACAATGAATTTTCTATGAATTGTTTATTAACCGCTATACAAATTTTTATTCTAATTGAGCCCTGATGTCCTATTGAATTTTCTACTAAGTTTTTAGTAAACACTTTGTTGATTATTGAGTTTGTTAATTATCAGAGTGGCGCAACGAGAGGTTATTTGGTCATATTGGTATATTTAATTGATGTTTGATTATGTTGTTCGGATGGTTGTCAGAGTATAAATTTGTCATAGCTCCTATTTTGAGTCGTTACAACCCCTCCTCTTTTAGGGAAGGATCCTCTCTAAGGAAAGTTCTCTCCAAGTATCTACAAGTATTAATCATACGTTAAGACGCCACATCAACAAATTACTTAGCTAGTGAATACGGTATCATTTGGTTAGCTAGTGAATATGGTATCGTTTGGTTTAAAACACGCCGTTACGGCACTTTCCCATCATTCTGAATCTTTCTTTCTCGATTTCCCTCTACTATCATCAATCTTTGGATGTTACAATTGAAGGTTTGTAAATTCCTATTCACAAATTCTAGAAAAATTAGTATTGCCCAAATTTGAGATTTCTGCATAAACCCTTAAAATGAGTGCGATTTTCAAATATCCATGTTATGCTGGATTGATTTTTTAAGAGGGGTAGAAATTAAGAGTGTTATGAGAGAGAGAGAATGATCATTGGTTCATACATTATACTTCACCAAACTAGCCAACAACAATTTATTTTGGCAGTGCCAGAGACTTTACTTTTGTAATCTTGAAACTGGAAATAATAAATTTCTGAAATTGATTGTATGGTGGGTTGTCTGAATTTGCTCCTTCAACCAATTGTTGTTGTTTTTTGAGAGAGACGAAGGAATCGTATTTTCAAAGAGAATGACTGATCGATTTTGAGAGAAAAATTTAATTGTTGGAAGGAAACTGCTCCCTAAATCCGAAAGTTAGATGGAAAAATGGTAAGCTCCGTAATGGCCCGCTCTAGTCCAAACAATAATGTCTTCACTAACCAAATAAGTTGTTGATGTGGCGCCTTAACAGTCGTAGGATTTAACCCCTCTCTTGCACACCAATCCTCCCTTTGTAGTTTCCATCTTTCTCTCTTTCTAACATGCATATGAGTTGGTTGGGGGCCAAAAGCTTGAGGGTTTAATTCCAATCTTTTACTAACTAAAATCTTTTCCTTACAAAGTCTCACCATATTAAATCAATCCCTTTTCATTTTTTTTCCTAGTTAGTACTCACACATCCCTTCCAAAGAATTGTTGAAATTGTTTGCACCTAGTAGGAATCGATTCTGAGATCTAATACTTTATGAGTTATGAAGCAGAAACACTTTTATGAAGGAGCCGTATCCATGTCATGTCGTCGGACACTTCTCGAACACTGTACAACATTTCATACAAGTGTTCGTAAATAAAAATAAATTTTTATTATTTTGGACACTTCGTCGACACTTCTAAAATACTTTTAAACATTTTTAGCACAAATATATATGATAATCTTAAAAATAATATGAATATATTTTAAACACGCTAATGGTGATTTTATTAAGTCCCATGTATTAAACATCCTCCTTGAAATTTATTTTATTTATTAACTCATTCTCCTCGAAATTTAACATACATATTTAACAACAACGAGTACTACTAATAAGTTCCAAATTGCAGCAAACTCAGTCAGAGAGTTGTAGGGACACCATGCAACACCACAGTCTCTATTGTCAGACAAGGACTGAACCCAAAAAGAACACCCCAATCCTTCGCTTCACCTGTGGTGGCCTTCCCATCCTCCATAGATTTCTTCCTCATTTCGTCCAAAATGAACAAAACACAAGCGCTCACTATGTTACCGTATACGCTCAGCACGTGCCGACTTGCCCTCAATTTCTCCTTCTGGAGACCGAGTTTGGCCTCGACCTGGTCAAGAATAGCTGGGCCACCAGGGTGAACGATCCAAAACAGTTCGTTCCAATCATTGATGCCAAACGGACCGAAAGCTTCATTTAAGGGCTTATCGATGTTTGTGGAGATCAATGCAGGTACTTCCCTTCCTAAATGAAATGTGAGTCCCACCTCATGCAAATGTAGTTTCATGGCTTCTCCGCTGTCGGGTAGAGTTGTCTGTGACGCAGACACAATTTGAAACAGTGGACGCTCGATCGACGTGTCAAGATCTGCACCAACGATCATAGCTGAGGCTCCATCACCGAAAAGAGCCTGGCCCACAAGAGAGTCCAAGTGGGTCTCGGAGGGCCCACGGAAGATGATGGCAGTGATCTCGGAACACACCACAAGTACACGCGCTCCTTCGCTGTTCTCGGCCAGGTCCTTGGCCCCACGAAGAACGGTCCCACCGGCGAAGCAGCCTTGTTGATAGATCATCACCCTGTTGACGGACGGTGGGACGCCGAGGAGCTTGGCGAGTTGATAGTCCGCACCAGGCATGTCTACGCCCGAGGTTGTACAGAATACAAGGTGTGTGATGTTCGATTTTGGCTGGCCCCATTCTTGAATGGCCTTTGATGCAGCTTCCTCACCGAGCTTAGGTACTTTCTCCACCACCATATCTTGACGGGCATCGAGGGATGAGGCCATGAAAGCACACATATTGGGATTCTTTTTAAGCATCTCTTCTGTCAGATACATGTAACGTTTCTTGATCATTGTTTTTTCACCTGCACGTATATAAGTCTCAAAATAAATACTGTAAATAAATGAATAAATTAATATTAAGCTAGCTAGCATTAATTGGCATTCAGTACGTGCACAAATAAAGTATGCCAGCCATGACAAATCACTATACATGCGCAATATATTGGCAAATATTCAAACAGCATTTGCTCAAACGAGAACTTGAAAAAGATATCAGTGTGACTGTGTGAGCAAAGAATAAGGATTCGTATGCATGCATGTTCTAGCTTCAATCAACTGTTATTTTTCTTTCTGGACAATACTTAAAATGAAATATAAATTAAAGCCATTTATGAACTGTACGTAAATATAGTACGGCATATATATACATATGTATTTGAACATACAAATCCGCTTAAACTTGTTTTTCAGCTCGATCATGTGCTCGCTGTTCGTTACTCGAAAGTAGTAATCAGGATAGTCGGCCTGGCTGACGCAGTTGGATGGAGTTGTTGTACCAATGGCCAGAATGGTAGCCGTACCCTCAGCTCGCTGGGCTTTGCGGATTCCCTCAATAGATGTCATTTTGGTGCTTATTTTGGTACTTTGTTCTTCTTTCTAGCTACCTAATTCAAAAGCAGATGACCAGAGACAAGATATATATATATAGAAGGCTTATAAACTAAGTTTGCTACCATTTGATGGTGCACGTCTGTGTCTATCTAGCTATATATATAAATGTCGATTTAGAGGGCGAGTGATGACTTCTTACTTACTATAAATACAAAATATCTATGAGTACGAGGAGGGTGTCATGATTTTCACATATGTCTAAAATTCATGATGTAGGTGCTGATGCAAATGCATAAATCATTATTGATAAATAGTAAAGTGCACTAAACTGATTAAACTCCCCTAAGCCTTCTCTTTTTCGAAAAATCCCCTTGAATTATCAGTTTGTTGCAAAATGTTTAAACCACGTTAGAAATCTAACAGAAATTAAGGCATGTGGGTCACGTGAGGGGGAAAATTTTAAAAAGACAATTGACCTTATAGCACAGTTAAGAGCTAAAACCATCGGCAACTTACTACAACCACCGGGCCTCCACCACGCCACCATCCCATCGTTGTAACTTCCACCGCCATTCCCACCTTACAACCATTGTGGTACCACCACCCCTACACTGGCGTCACCACCACCACTATCCCCAAACCCACAATCGGTAACAAAAATCAAGGGAGTGAGACAACCATCGGGCCTCCACCACGCCACCATCCCATCGTTGTAATTGCCACCACCATTCCCACCTTACAACCACTGCGGTGCCATCACCCCCACACCAATGTCGCCACCACGTACCACTATCCCCAAACACTCAATCGGCAGCAGAAATCAACGGAGAGAGACAACCACCAAGCCTCCACCACGCTACTATCCCATCATTGTAATTGCCACCACCATTCCCACCTTACAACCACCGCGGTACCATCACCCCCACACCAGCGTCGCCACCACCACTATCCCCAAACCCACAATCGGCAACAGAAATCAACGGAGAGAGACAACCACCAGGCCTCCACCGCACCACCATCCCATTGTTGTAACTACCACCACCATTCCCACCTTACAACCATTGTGATGACACTACCATTCCCACCTTACAACCATCGCGGTGCCACCACCCCCACTATCCCCAAACCCACAATCGACAGCCGAAATCAACGAAGAGAGAAAATGAAGGCGCCGCCGCCACCACCACCACCACCATTGATTCCTCCACCGTTGAAACCCCTTCCTCTGCCGATCCCCTTCTCTCCAAGGGTCACAATGCCTCCAATTCACCAAACCATCACTTGACTGCCTCATCCGTGAATTCCTGGACCGTGTAGTCAAACCCATCACCCACGGCCTCGAATTTTTGCGTCATTGGCAGAAGCTTGCTCAGATCGTGCCGGCGTTGGTCTGGGCTTGGTGCTAATCTCTGTAACCTCTCCTCTAGCTGTAGTTCTCATCGTCTATGTCGACGGTTTGGAAAGGACGTGAAGGGGAGGGGAGGGGAGGAGAGATGCGTGTGAGAGAGAAGTTGAGGTTGTTAGTTTTTTTAAAGAAAAATGATACAACTTCCGACCCAATCTACCGAAATATCTTCCGAATCCAACGTGGATAGGCCACGTCGAACCCAAAAACACATAGCTCTTTCTCTCTCTTCTTCTCTCTCCACGATTCCCCTCTCTCTCCCTCTATTTCTTCCATTGTTCTTTATTTCTTTCACTCTGTGCCTTCCATCCGAGGGTCCATTCTGTTCCGGTAATGACTAAAGCTCTGGACTGACTTCAATAAAGGAGAAAATTGGACTAACAACCGTGATTGAGTGCCCGTTGGTGCCAAAGACAGAGCTCCAATCCGGCAACGTCTTGGCCCGTGATGTCGACGGCGAAGGCAAACAAGGTCATTTGGTTGGATTTGTTGTGGCAATGTCGTCATCGGGAATGATTTGAAGTGACAAATTTTCCGGCGGCGCGCCTCCAAGCAACAGAGATGAAATTCTTAATTGGATTATTGGAGTACAATATTTATGATCTCTAATCCTTCTCTTTCTTATACCCTCTCTGTGTATTTCGGGTGGGAGGAGATTACTCAAAATATACACACATTTTATTACTACTGATATTTTGGTTGTTTAATTACTGGTGTTCAAATCTTATTACTGGCCGTCCATCTCCGCTGTCGCCCTCATCTGAGATCCTTGTTCGCCGGCGTTACTGTTCAGTCCCGCTGCTTCACTTTCGCCGGTGTTTTTTCTATTTCTTCCGTCTTTGTCCACCGGCATCGACTTTCTGTTCCACGCCCCTGCACCTTCCTCTGGCTCCCAGTTCGGCGGCGATGCAAGGAACGGCGGCAGTGAATCACCTATACCTTTCTTCTCTATAAACCCATTTGTCTCGCCTCTCTCTCTAACCCATTTGTCATCTTCAACCACCACCACTATCATATTTTCAATCGGATTCCTCACATTTACTATCACTGTGTAATACAAACAAACCCAAAAATCTAAAAGACGAAGTTTTTAGATCTAAACTTTGAAGAATAAATTGAGAAAGGGATGACTTTTTTTTTTTTTTTTCTTTTCAGTTGGGTCTTCAGAAAGAGAAAGTAAACGTGTGTCATTTATGGGATGCCGTGGCATGCCAAGTCTGATCCGGAGAATTTGTCGGTGATTGGAGTCGGAAGATATATCACCTCTCTTTTTTAAATTATTTAAATTACATAAACGCTTAGGTTTTTATGAGGTGGCAGACTAAAAAAATAAGAGTATTTTTGTACAATATACTATTAAAATTTTTTATAGTGTAGATATGGATAAATTGAAAACCCAACTAAATAAGTAATTGGTATTTTATTTTAGTTAAAATTAAAGTTAGTTATATTATTTTTTTAGTAATTGAAATTTTATTGTAGTTGGTATTTTATTTAATTAAAATTAGTTATTTTATTTATAAGTCAATGAAAATAGGAGAGTATGGCAGGAATCCGGAGCAGAATAGGAATTTAAATTGGGAATCCAACTTTGCCACATCAGTAGTCAAAGTTGGATAGAACTCAAAACGGTGTTATTTAATTTAAGGACTAAACGGTAATTTACGTTTTCTGTTAACGACTTACTAACTATTGTAATAATTTGATAGTTTAAGGAAATTATATTTACTTCAGGGATTTTTTATAATTGGGTCATCGCTCAGGGAGTTTTGTGCACTACCTTAAATCCTGATGAATTGAAAAGAAAAAAGTCTGCAACAGTATAAAGTAAAAAGGAATAGTGATGAATTGAAAAGAAAAAAGTGTGCAACAGTATAAAGTAAAAAGGAGTATTAATGTGTAAGGCCAAAGTGAGCATTAAATGCAAAGAAGAAAAAAATGTGTAAAAGGACAAATGGAAATGCTTACAAGTGAAAAGTATTTATGAGCACATTAAATGGATGGTCCACAAATGCATCAAATGTTGCCTATAAATATCTCTGTATTTTTTAAGTGACACGTCAGTATTTTTAGGAGGCACGTTAGCGTTTTAGAGTTTTCAAATTTTAGTTATAGCATGTACTTCAATGATACATTTTTTATCTCCAAAAATATTAATATTTTAATATTTTTTAAAAATTTTAATATATATTTTTTAACTTTTTCCCAAAGGTTATATTTCTAACTGCTACATCATACAAATTTTTTAAAAATAATTCAATATTTATTATGGATTGTAAAAATTAAACAATGCAAGGGATAAGAGTAAAAAAAAAATGCAAAAAAGAAGCAAAAAAACTAATTCCTGAAATTTTGTTTAGCCAAACAGGCCCTCGAAACACTGCTACAGAACTTCTGGCCCTGTTTTAAAAAGTCAACATTTGCAATTGGGCCCGCATGCAAATCGCCATAAGGGTTGCCAAAAATGGCGACCCATTCCCCGATTCAATTTTTCTAGGCCCAAAAGCAGCGAGCCCATTGGAGAGAAAAAATCGCCAAACAAGTCGTTGGGCTCGTGCAAACTTGTGAGAGAAAGTACAAAAGGAGGTGTGAGAAGAGGAGAGAAATAAAAAGAGGAGAGATAATGGTAGAAAGAGATAATTGTAGAAAGAGAAAAGTGAGTTGAGTTTGTGAGTGTGTAACAAAAGTATTGAAGTAAAGATGGTCACTCTTCGCCCGTGGACATAGGCAATTTGTCGAACCACGTAAATCTCGCTTTATTTGTATGTTTATTTTATCTGTTATATTTACCAATAGTGTATGCAATCCTAACAATTGATATCAAAGCTATAACAACAACTATTACAAATAGAAAGTACATGGTCGAGACGTTTGATGAAAGAAGGAACTTCAATCTTTGGCAAGTTCGGATGCAGGATATATTGATTCAGCATGGCTTAGGAGAGGCTTTGGGCACGCAACCAGAAAATAATACAAGATGCAAATTGGGGGAAGATCAACTTGAAAGCAATGAGTGTAATTAGATTAACGCTGACGAATGATATTGTGTTTGATGTGATAGAAGAGGTTTTAAAACCAGATATGTGAAAAAAGTTAGAGAATCTATATGTGGAAAATAATCTTACCAACTGGTTAGTTTTGAAACAAGAGTTGTATTCCTTTCGGAGAAAAGAAGGAATCTTTGTAGGGTAGGGCTATGTTGAGGGTGTTTTCTTCAACCGGTTAATTTTATAGAAAATTGATGTGTGTTATCTTCAATAGTAAAACCACTCACAATAGAACGAATCCTTGTAGAATAGGGCTATGTTGAGGGTGTCGATTCTCAAGAACTGTGGTGGTTTGTTAAATATAAAATTAATTACTAATTTAATTTAGAGAGAAGATTTGTTTGTTTGTTTATATCTAAATAACATAAAAATAAAAATAGGCAATGAAAATAAGGATTGAAATAAAGAGAAGAAATACTTAGGGCTTGATTTCACCACGAATCTCGTAATATGGTCATTTGATTCAACCTTAGGGATTTCAATATTTATGCATGATCAGGAATTAAATGAATTAACATCCAATTTAATTTAATTTCAAGAAGATAAATCATGAATTTAGTTAAGCAATAACCTATCTTCGGTTGGCACGAATTATTTACCTAACTACTCTAATTTAGGGTGCAATATTACAACTCGTCTTCCCTAGGTATAGATTATCAAAATATTCATTCATAAAATAGTTTAAGCTCTATTGCATGATCATTATTCAGATCGTTATGAGAAGCCTTTAGCTGTCAATCTCAAACAATAAGAATAGTTTAGATTTGATTAAAGTAAAATCAATTTTAATACAAGACATTAATTTCATCAAAAATCAAGTTTATTTCATTAAAACTCCAATTGCTTAGAAATCCTAAGTCAATTACTTTTAATCATGCAATTAAAATACATAAATAATGAAAATCTCCAAAGTTAAAGAACAATCAAACCATATTATTCGAATTCGGGATACATCAAGGCCCTAAGATGGAGTTTAGCTACTCATGGAGAGGGAGCATATTTTCATTAATGTTGTAGAAATTATCTCCACAGACGACCAAAAACTCCTTTGGATCTTCTCCTTCAATCTTCAAAACCCTAAAAGCTGCTGCGAGATCTGAAAGTTACAAGAGAGGGGAAAAGGGATCTTAATGTATCCCTTCTTGAATGGTCTTTACAACTTCCGGAGACATCTGGCCCATCTAGGAAGAAAGAGGGGTGATTTTATATCATTCCCGCACGTATTTTTAACTTCCACATATTTGAGATTTCAATGGTTAGAAGGTTCCGTTTTCAAACCAAAAAAATAAAATTAGAATAAAATAAATATAAACAACGCTTTTTGATGAGAGAACTATTTTGCCATCTGCTGATTTTTTTTTATTTTTTCTTTTCTTTTTAAATGAACATTTTAAGAACTGAGTTTGCTAGTTGTAAATGTAAATTGGCTACCTTTTTTATGCTCCATCTTCAAAAATGTTATACTATTTCGAGTGAAAACTTATTTTTTAATATCTAAATTTCTTCAAATACACATACTTAAATAATCAATTAATTTATTTTGAAAAGTAAGATTGTCATCAAATGCACACCTCAAGACGGTTACTATTTGCTCTCTTATAAAATTCACACATTTTCAGTCCAAAAAATCTTTCATATTAAAATGGTTCTCCATAGGAAAAATCATAATCAAAGTATGTTAAAATAAAATCATACAAGCAATTCAAAAATGAAGCTCTTAAGGACTATTCATATTCAAGTCAAACAAAAAAATCATACAAGCAATTCAAAAATGAAGCTCTTAAGGACTATTCATATTCAAGTCAAACAAAAAAATCCCCGTGGCTCCAACTTCCAACCATCTCAATAATTGCAGTACTTAAGGATTATTCATTCATTCCTGTCTCTTACAATGACATAAAACAAGGTATTACGCATTAAATTGTTACAGACAATAGTGTAATTGTTGCATATAATAGTCTCAAATAATTCTAGTATTCAGAAAAACTTTCATATTCAAGCCAACACAGCCATCTCTTACAATGACATGAGACGTGCTATAACAACACATCAGATTGTTACATATTATAGTCTTCCTAAAGATACCAAACCAATCCAACATATCCTGGTGGGCTTCTTCTGCATGCTTCAGCTCCTCTTCATCTTCATCCTTGTACCTCATGGTCCAACCGTGCGCAACCCCCGGGAATATCTTTACAAAGCCATCAACCTGGAAAAAATAATATATCTGTGATTTCTTTATCCTTTATTTTTATTTTTTTATTTTTAATTGGCGTTGTTAATTTCTTGACTGAAACACAAATGCCAACCATGTCTGAGAATATATGATCTGCAATAACTACCTTAAAGCAAGAGATGTTTTACCAAAAAATAAAAACATATTACCCAGTGTACCGGACTTACCCGTTCCGCCAATGAGGAAGATGGGAGGGATGGACTAGATACACAAATAAAATTGGACATTTTGAAAAAATGTGCATTCTTTTGTACCCAAACCTGCCTCTCGGACTACACAGTCTGGGCATATTTTTACTATTGCACAAAACAATGACCCTTAAGTAATATCTGAACCTAATACATATATTCCAATCTATTTCTTTTCTGATTTCCCTGTATTATGTTTTAGTAATGCTCAAGTAGGTACTGCAAACTTAGAACATCGACAAAGGTATTTATGGGTTCTCCATTCCAGCTTGAAGAACCCTTAAGTGGAAGGATATACTGATGCTGATTGGGCAGGATCTCTTAGTGGGAGATGGGCTATCACCAAATCCATAAATCTGACCGTAACGACTAATCCAAAGCATCTTTCAGTCCCTCTAGCGAATGACAGTTATGTATCCCCTTCTGAACCCCCTAGCCCCCCCTTCTATTGGATTTCCTTATGGAAAGATGGGGGGAGTGGTAGAGAACAGCGGCAGCAGCCTTTTAAAGTATATAAAAGGCGTGGCAAGGAGGGTTCTAAGACTCAAACCTTAATTTGGCACATGCTAGACGATGGAGGGTCCACTTGGAGTCTTGTATAATTAGGGGGTTTGGTCAAATTTCATTACTTTGGTAATTGCATCAATTAAGTTATTTGTTACTTTATTAAGTTAGAGTCAACTTTTGATTACCTTGTTTTGGTAAATTGCATAATTAGATTTAATTACATCAATTAAGTTATTTGTTACTTTATTAAGTTAGAGTCAACTTTTGATTACCTCCATTGTAGGGCAATCCAAGGGTCATCTTTTATTATAAAAAGGATACTATGTAACTCTAAATACTCAACGAATAATGGAATAAAATTATCCTTTGGGATTTCTTTGTGAGTGATTCACAAATTCTGAGGGTGCGAGGCCTTCTCTAGGTGTGATACCAAGGTCCTATTGGAGTGATTCCAATAGGCTTTTCTTTGTTAATTTCAATCCTTCTTTTCTACTAACAACCCCCGAATCTTAGCTTTGTTCCTGAATTTCCAGCCCATAACTCTTATTTACTTTCTTCTATTTGAGCCTGCCCTTTGTCCTACATCAGTTTTTGGTATCAGAGCTTGAGTTGACATCATGTCGACACAATCAGGAAATGAAAGATCGGGTATTAATCAGCAAGATGAGTTGATATCCACGCTTGTAGAGCAGCTCAATGGGTTGAATGTCCGATTCAATGAGTTAGAAGCTCGAATGTGTTAGCCTATTAACAATTTTGCTCCTGCTTCATCTAGTACAAATGATGGCAGTGGTCGAGAGCAACATCATCCTTTAAATGTGCAGCAAAGGCAGAATGTGAGGGCTGATCCACCACCACACCCAATGTTTGAGTTTCCGAGAAATCTGCTGGGAATGAATTATCATGTGCCACATGATAACACTAGGGATATCACAAAGAAAATTAAAATGGAGGTGCCAGATTTTGAAGGTAAGGTTAATCCTACTGTATTTTCGGATTGGCTTGCTTCGATTGAAGAATATTTTGAATTGTATGACATCGTAGAGTGAGATTTGCTAGAATGAAGTTGGTGGGCCTAGCAAAAATATGGTGGACTGGTGTTGAAGGGGATATTAGGAGGCTAGGACAATCACCAATTAGCACACGGCAAGAAATGAAGGCAAAGCTTCGAGAGAAATACATGCCAGCCAAGTACCATGACAAATTGTGTGATCAACTTATCAATCTAAAGTAGGGTAGCATGTCAGTCGCGGAATATATGTAAAGATTTGATGAGTTAAAGACTAGAAGTCAGGTTGTGGAAGACCCGCGCCAAACACTTGCAAAATTCAAGGCTGGTCTAAGGTCTGATATCAGAAGGGAATTGCTTCGCCAGTCATTATATGGTGTTGAACATGCTTTTCAGGTTGCACTGGACATGGAGGAGTACTTGAGTTATCAAACGGCTCGAAGATCTGGATATCAAACCTGGGAGGCAGCACCCAATAAGTCCAGTGGTGGAAATCGCAGCACACAATCAGTAACAACGCAGCCGAATGGTGGAAATGCTGGATCAAAACTGCCCTTTTCTAACATGGCTGATCCTAAAGGGAAGAGTATTGTGGCCAACAAAGGTAGTGGAAGGAGTAACAAGTGCTTCAAATGTGGAGAAACAGGTCACATGGCATACCAATGTCCAAAGAAAAATTTACACATTGGAATAACGCCTGAAGAAGAGCCAGAAGAACATGGGGGAGAGGACAAAGGGAACATGTTTGACTATGGGATCTACAACCCTGATGATCAAGAAGAGGATGAAGATGTTCCATCAATCTCCATTGTGAGGCATATCCTTGCAGCCCCTAAAGTTGAAGATGGAGATTGGCGACGCACAATTATTTTTCAAATGCTAGTTCGTTGTGGGAATCAAGCTCGAAAGGTCATTATTGATGGCGGAAGTTGCATGAATGTTGTGTCTGTAGCCACGGTTGAGCGCCTTAAGCTTTCAGTCCAACCACATCCACAACCATTCAAAGTGGCGTGGATAGATAGTACTTCTATTCCGGTAACTCAACGTAGTCTCGTTTCTCTCTTGTGGAGCTTATAATGATTCTATTTGGTGTGATGTAATTCCCATGAAAGTGACACATATTCTTCTTGGGCGGCCTTGGATTTATGATCGAGATGTGTATCATTGTGGGAAGGAGAATACATACACTTTCTTGTTTAACAACAACCAAATTATTTTGAAGCCTATGTCCTCAGCTGAAATGGAGAAAAATAAAGGTGGACAGGCTGTAGATGACGTGAAAAGCAAGAAAAAGTCCCTTAATCTCCTTGCCAAGAAGAGGTTTCAATTGGAAAGTAAAGAGATGGGTGTTGCATATGCTGTTGTAGCAAGGGAAATCAAAGAAAGTGCTGCTGTTCATGATTCTTCAATGCCATCAGAGGTCGCCTACTTGTTGTCAGATTTCTCAGATTTATCTCCCGAAGATCTCCATAATGAACCCCCTCCTCTACGTAATATCCAGAATGCGATTGACTTCGTACCGGGATCTCCATTGCCTAACCTTCCAGCTTATCATTTGAATCCAAGCGAGCATGCCGAGCTTCTGAGGCAAGTTAATGAGCTGCTGTCCAAAGGATTTATCCGTGAAAGTTTAAGTCCTTGTGTTGTCCCAGCTTTGCTCACACCAAAGAAGGATGGTAGTTGGCGCATGTGTATTGACAGTGGCGCCATCAACAAGATTACAATCAAGTATCGGTTTCCTATTCCTCGAATCGATGATTTGCTAGACATGGTGGCTGGTTCTTGTATATTTTCAAAGATAGATCTGAAAAGTGGCAACCATCAAATTCGCGTAAGGCCCGGGGATGAATGGAAGACAGCTTTCAAGACAAAAGATGGACTCTACGAGTGGCTTATTATGCCATTTGGTCTTTCCAATGCCCTTAGTACATTCATGCACTTCATGACTCAGGTATTGCAGCCCTTTATTGGTCGTTTTCTGGTTGTTTACTTAGACGATATTTTAATCTACAGCAAAACGAGGGAGGAACATATTTCCCACCTTCACAAGTTATGAGAGTTCTCCGCCAATAGAAGCTTTACATGAACTTGAAGAAGTGTTCCTTCATGTTGCCGAGTGTGGTGTTTTTGGGCTTTGTTGTTTCTTCCAAAGGGGTGGAAGCTGATCCAGATAAAGTGAAAGCGATTCTAGATTGGCCAATTCCCAGCACATTGCAGGAACCACGGAGTTTTCATAGGCTAGCTTCATTCTATCGGCGATTTATTAGAAATTTCAGCACAATAATGGCCCCTATCACCAATTGTATGAAGAACAGCCAGTTTGTATGGACAAAGGCAGCAGCACAGGCCTTGGAAGAAGTGAAGAAAAGAATGACTGCAGCTCCTATTTTACTCCTTCCAGACTTCTCAAAAGTGTTTGAAGTTGCATGTGATGCTTCACAGGTTGGAATTGGAGGCGTGCTCAGTCAAGAAGGTCATCGGGTTGCATATTTTAGTGAGAAACTTAATGAAGCAAAGCAAAGGTATTCCACTTATGATAGAGAATTTGACGCTGTGATTCAAGCACTTCGCTATTGGCGTCATTACCTTCTTTTTAAGGAGTTCGTGTTGTATTCTGATCACGAGGCCCTCAAATATATTAACTCCCAAAGAAAGTTACGCCGCCACCGACATGGAAAGTGGGTTTCATTCTTGCAAGAGTACTCATTCGTCATCAAACATAAAGCTGGTGTTGAGAACAAGGCAGCCAATGCACTTAGCCGAGTTGTTCATATTCTTGCCTCCATGGTTGTTAAAGTTCTTGGTTTCGATATGCTTACACGAGACTACTTGGCTTGCACGGACTTTAGCATTATACATGCTGATTTGATAGCTGGACAGTAGGGTACATATCCTGATTATTCGGTACATGATGGTTATCTCTTCAAAGGAACTCAACTTTGTTTGCCTAAGACATCTCTTCGTGAACATGTAATATGGAAGTTGCATGCTGGTGGGGCAGCAGGTCATTTTGGAAGAGATAAGACCATTGCCATGGTGGAAGATCGTTTTTTTTGGCCAAGTTTGAAACGGGATGTGGCCAAAATTGTTGCTCGTTGCAGAACTTGTCAAATATCCAAGGGAAGAAAAAAAAATATAGGTTTATATACGCCGCTCCCAGTCCCTCATGAACCGTGGCAAGATTTAAGCATGGACTTTGTTCTTGGGTTGACTAAAACAAGTCAAAGTCATGATGCTATATTTGTTGCTGTGGATCGTTTTTCAAAAATGGCACACTTCATTCCTTGTTCTAAGACATCCGATGTTGTCCACATTGCCAAGCTTTTCTTTCAAGAAGTTGTTCGGCTTCATGGATTACCAAACACCATTGTTTATGATCGAGATACAAAATTCATGAGTTATTTTTGGCGCACATTATGGAAGATGCTGAATACAAGGCTGAAGTTTTCCTCTTCTTTTCACCCCCAAACTGACGGCCAAACTGAGGTTATTAATCGCAGCTTGGGTGATTTGCTTCGTTGTCTTGTTGGTGACCATATTAGTGGCTGGGACCAGATTCTTCCTATGGCTGAATTTGCCTAAAACAGTTCTATAAACAGATCCACAGGGCGCATCCCCTTTGAGATTGTGACAGGTTTATGCCCTCGGAAACCAATTGACTTAGTGCCTTCACCAATTGTGGCATGCCCTAGTGCTGAAGCTGATGCTTTTAGTAAGCATATCAGAGACATCCATGCGGAAGTTCGAAGGAAGATTGCAATGAGCAATGAAACTTACAAAACACAAGCTAATTTGCGGAGGAAGTTTGCTGAATTTGAGGAGAGATATGGTTATGGTGCGAATAAGACCAGAACGATATCCTAAAGGTGCTTATAAGAAGCTTCATGCAAAGAGTGCTGGCCCATACAAAGTTCTCAAGAAAATTAGCTCCAATGCTTATGTTCTTGACCTACCAGAAGAGATGGGTATCAGTAAAGGCTTCAATATCGAAGATCTCACCTTGCATTCTGGCCATTTTGCTGATCCATTTCTTGTTGATCCTATCACTCGCCTTCCCCCAACCCCATGCGTAAAGGAGGAAATAAAAGATGTTGTTGATCACCAACTTGTTTCAACAAGAGCCGGCGGTTATCAAAAATTCCTCGTTAAGTGGAAAGGGCGGCCACTTTCTTATTGTACAGGATTAGCGACAGTGAGTTCCAACACCTAGCTCCAGACCTCTATGAACAATTTCATGCATTTACCTCGCCGGGGTCAAGTTTTTCCAAGCCGGGGAGAATTGGTAGAGAACAGTGGCAGCAGCCTTTTAAAGTATATAAAAGGCGTGGCAAGGAGGGTTCTAAGGCTCAAACCTTAATTTGGCACTTGGAGTCTTGTATAATTAGGGGGTTTGGTCAAATTTCATTATTTTGGTAATTGCATCAATTAAGTTATTTGTTACTTTATTAAGTTAGAGTCAACTTTTGATTACCTTGTTTTGGTAAATTGCATAATTAGATTAAATTGCATCAATTAAGTTATTTGTTACTTTATTAAGTTAGAGTCAACTTTTAATTACCTCCATTGTAGGGTAATCCAAGGGTCATCTTTTATTATAAAAAGGATACTGTGTAACTCTGAATACTCAGAATGATTGAATAAAATTATCCTTTGAGATTTCTTTATGAGTGATTCACAAATTCTGAGGGTGTGAGGCCTTTTCTAGTTATGATACCTAGGTCCTATTGGAGTGATTCCAATAGGCTTTTCTTTGTTAATTTCAATCCTTCTTTTCTACTAACAACCCCCGAATCTTAGCTTTGTTCCTGAATTTCCAGCCCATAACTCTTATTTACTTTCTTCTATTTGAGCCTGTCCTTTGTCCTACATCAGGGAGCCACTTACCCAAAAAAAGAGAGGATGGAGGAGCCCCCACCCCAACAAAAGGTATATTCAATATTTGTCAACACTCTACAGAGTATTCTCTCTCTCTCTCTCTCTCTCTCTCTCTCTCTCTCTCTCTACATATATATATATATGTATATATATAAACTAAAAAAATTAAAAAAATGAAAAGTCTGAGACAGCATAGAGTCGCACACATACATCCATGCAATATTTAAGATCCTGGCCATAATTGTGGATCAAAAAAAGTGGAGTTGATCGTCACTTTAGTATGTAGCAAAAATGAACATACCACAATCTGGTTGTTGATAAACTTAATACAAATTGAAGTTGACAGTGATGGTCAATTTTGAAAAGCTTCCCACCATCAATTTTTTCTTTTTCTTTTTCTTTTTTCTTTTTTGAACAAGATAATCATGCACACCAAAATATAAGGCATCTTTAACTAATAAAAAATAATAATAAAAAGAAAAAGAAAAAAAGAAACTACAAATTAAAAACAATCATGAAGTTAATAATTGTACAAAATCAATGTGAAAGATTCGCAGTGTTCAAGTGAAAAGTAAACAAATTGTCTAGCTTTCATAGTCACTTCTGCCACAGGAAGTATGTGAGTATAAATGTATCTAAAACAACACTTACAGAAGATAAAACATAAATTCCTAGTCAGTTTTTGGCTTAGTTACAGGGACTTGGGTATATGTATGAGGTATGAGTATGTGTCCAAATGTCAGACCACCCTAGATCCCGAATTTTAAGATATGTGAAGTAGGTTCAAAATGCGTTCAGAACCTGAATAAGGGTATGTAGAGACGTCTTGCATTCTTAAAAAATGTACTTAGTAACAACGAAATTAAACAGAATATGATTAAAAAAAAAAAGAAGATAAATTCCATCTATGTCAGAATCAGGTAATCCTTCTTTGCTATCACAATGGGCTTTTCTTTTCCTTTAAGAAGATCGAAAGATCCAAGTGTCCAATTTGGGTTATGTGTCTGACACACGTCATACCCATACCCATGTCGTATCACGTTGTGTCAACACAGATACATTAAGGAGAATCGGAAAGTCCAGGTAACACGGTTCTTGGCTTATTTGAATATTCTATTGCCAATAAAGAAAGGAAAAGATTATTGAAGTTATAAAGGTATGTGAACAATAATTTGAGGATGGGCAATATGAAATATTTTTCTTTAGTGTTACATGGAAAGTTTTGGAGTTTCATACCTCGGGCTTAGCATTTAAGATCCCCTCAAACTGTTTCACAAGTTCTGGTGGAGATATTTGGTCAATCTCAGCTCCGAGTACTGAAATTGGAACCTTAACCCCTGAAAATTGTGGCAACTGTAAATAAACAAATTTCTTGTTTCCACCAACTCACAAAAAAACATAATAAATAAACGTCATGCTCACCACCATTAAGGAGGAAAGCACTATATAAATACCTAGAAGGTTATATGTGTTTCATATAAATGAAAAAGCTATCATGACCATGCTATCAACCATCAAGATACTGTGATGTATGCACTCCCAATCCAAACGGTCAATGGCACAAGCTAGCTCACTGTAAGAGCATGCACCCTCATCATACACTCGCTCAAATAAAATTCACGAAGGACCAACACAATTGCTTCTATGAATAATTCCAGAGGTCTACTTTAAAATTCTGGGTCCGACAAAATAAATCAAAGAGTAATTTCAGGAAAGTTTAGTAACAGAATTCATACCCTGGATATCATCCAAAGTGACAAATGACGGATGTAGCATCACTGCAGCTTGGATATAAGCATGCTTTGCTAATTCCACAACGACCTTAGCTGATGAGAGAATTCAAAAAGTTCAATTTTAGTCAAGTTGTTGATTCTTAAGCCCTGTCTAGTTGCAGAGCAATATGATATTGTCTAAATTCGTGAAGGCTGTCCAGGAAAAATCTTACCACCCCAACAAAAGCCTGCAGCTCCAATACTGGATACACCTTTACTTTTTAGAGCTTCAATAACTGCTTTTGCATCTTCAAATGCTTTATCCTAGAAGGTAAGAAAATATTTTAGACACTAATGTGTAAGCTACAATTAATCAAAACTTTATTTGAGTTTGAAAACTAAACAATTGAAGACACTAATTTTATTCCCCAAAAAGGAAGAAACACCATTCAGTATTATTTGAAAAACAGAAACTTCATTTCTTCAAGGAGACCCAAAATGAATGGGTCTGCTGAGTCAATCCACATTTTGGATTTCTCTAAATGTTAAATTTCCAGCAAACCCTAAAGAAAAATATGTTCAAAGGAAACTACTTTCACACTATAAATAAGTAGCAATTTCCAGGCATGTAGTATAATGAAGATAACTAACCGTTCCATGCTCTTTTAACCATACTGATATTGGCTTTTCAGCATTTTCAGGTACATAGGGGTCTCCATATAAGAAGTCAGGAACAACCACATAGAATCCAGCAGATGCAACTTTCTCAGCAAGCTTTATTCACAGTTGAAAAACAAAGGCATAAGTAAAATACGTTGACAAATGACACTTTATCGTCAAACTATATGACAATGTTAAGAGTGTGAAAATCAGTTGACACAAGGCCAAACAATAATTACTTGGCTATTTAAGAAGTTTGACAAGCTCAGTTCCCAAATTCACAAGAAGGAGATGGAGATATCACCCATTAAACAGTGACACCCAAAGGGTACACAAACACCAGCACAAGGCCACAAATTGCACATTGGCACAAATTTAACAATTTTGAAAATCGGGTAATTTACACTGACCTCCCCTCTAGATTGCTAAACCTACACACAGTACCACATAGTTTTCAGAAATTACTCCGACCTCCCATGTCAGAGCTTGTCGGCTGACTCCGTTAATAGTGATAATGCAATTACCACTATGCTCTTGTTTGTTTAATATTATTTTAGTTGAAAAGTTAATCAAATTTAAAAAAACTAAAATATCCATTTTCAAATATAAAAAGTTCTTCTACCATCTCTTTCTCTAACATCTCCCTCTCAAATCAAAACCAGATTCAACACAAATACATATATATACTGTGTTACCTGGACTCTCCATAATTGGAGGTAGTGTCCATGTCGACACGACACGACACGGACACGGGACTCGTGTCGAACACTTTCTTTTTGAATCGGAGACTCTACGAAGCTCCCTAGTTCTCTGGTTTGAAGTCCTGGTTATCTCTGGTTTGAAGTTTACAAAGGTTGAAGACGGATCTGTGGAAGACAGGGAAATTTGTGCCTTAATTTTTTATTCATATAATATATGTATATACATTTTTTTATACTCCCGTGCTCACTGTTTTTTAGGCTAGGATCATCATTGTAATATTATATTATTATAGGTATATTACAGCTGTGGGTATCAGTCATTATAATACTATATAGTACTATATTACAGCAATAATTACAGTATAATATTATATTACGACTTCCAAGAAAGTGGTACAACTAGAGGAGGCTTGCATGTACCATCATTATAATATTACATTATTATATATATTACAGCAGTGGGTTACAGCTGTAACCTACATCCATTTCACACATACAAATTCATTGGGCTAGGCTATTTGGGTGTTTGAATTATTGTTGGGCCACTGACTTTCGGGCCTTCCCAGCTCCTTTGTACAACATATATAAAGTGTCCAAGTACCCGTGTTCGAATTTTGGACACTTATATTTCGTATCCCCGTGTCCTATAATTTGATAGATAGATGGATCCAATCTCTAGACACGTACCCTGTCTGACACCCGCACTTGAATCCGTGTAATATAGGTTTTCAAGAAATAGCAAAGCCTCTGGTTATCAAAAAATTAAAAATGAAAAGAAAAGGTAGTTTTTGTATTTCTTAAAGCCATTCTAGAAAGAAAAAAATCTATGCATCCTTTAGATATAATTGGCAAGATTCTTACGCATTTTTAGATGATAATTGCGTCAAGTATAGAAATTCCTGAAAACATAATTGAATAATTATAGAAGTATTAAAATATCTAGGAAGCAAGAACCAGCTAAATGGTCATTTTCCCTTATACATGGCAGTTATTTCTCTCTCTCTTATTTCCACTATATATCAGTAGAATTGTTAGGATTCTATTAAATCATCAAACCATATATTCTATTATTATTATCATTATTATTATTATAATTTTTCAATCTGCTATGTTTAAGAGGACAAGGACTAGACCATCAAAAAACAAAAACAATTGACAAACTTATGAAGTGAAAAAATTGTATAAAAACAATAGTAGTAGCAAACCATGCACTGAATTGTTGCAAAAGCAGAGTTGAAAATTGACAATACCTCAACTTTGGAGCTTCAAATTCTGCAAGATCAATTCATACATGTGCATTAGATATGACAGTGATGATTATTTTTTCCTTTTTTTCATTAATTATAACTCATATCACAAGTACAACAGCCATGATGATGATTTTGATGACAGACAGATTGAGACTTGATAAAAGGTGGACATGATTTATAACCACAATAAACACACTGACTTACACACAATGAGTATAAAGAAGTTAATAAGTTGCAAATGAAACAAACAATACCCACTTTGTAAATAGCAAAAATCTTAATATTTATTCAGCCAAAAAAAAAAAATCTTAGTTACCATACAAAGAATAGCCCTTTTCGTTGGTATAGACAAACATGTTTTAAGTTACCATAATGTTATTCAAATTAAGAACCCACAAACACATATTCATAGCCCAAGATCTAATATCTATGAAATAGATCAAGAAAACTAGTTTCACACCAGATTAAGAAAAATACTCAAATACCCAAATCATAGTTGGAAGAGAGAGCTCAAAATAAGTAGTGAATCAAGTACCAAAAACATCTGAGATGAGAACAACTGCAAGCTTGGAATCAGAGGGTCCAGAAACGTAGGACTTGAGGCCTGCAATTTCTTCCACATGCCCCACTCCACAGCTTGAGCTGAGTGTTGGTGGGTTTTCGCAGCACTGGGGGCTGACATCCCTTAAATCTGAGAAAAGAATAGCAAATTTTCTGTTGGGGAAGTGACAGTCGACACAAGAATTGATCAAAGCTAATTTACAGATGTAAATAACTATACTACATGTACTATATATATATATATATATATATATATATATATGGAGAGGGTCTTGGTTGGAATGGGAAGAAGTAGATCACAAAACTACTGACGTCATCTCTAACGTCATCTGCCAGAGATAAAAAAAAAAAGAAAGAAGATCCGGTTAGAAACGTTCGATTCCACCACGATTGTTTTTTTGATGGTTGTGTCTTGGTATTTGACACTTAAACATAGTAATTATTTTTTAATTAAATTTATAAAATTTTCATGGACTTTATTTATTTAATATTATTTTTTTGTTTTGAAATTTTATTCTTTATATTATTAAAATCATCACACAACCACTTTTTATTTTCAGATAAAATTAATCTTAAATGTTTGTAATGATTTTTAATAACATCAACCCAGGGCCGGCCTTGAGATTCCAAATATTTTGAGAGGCCCTAGGCGAACTTTCAAATGTGAGGCCCTTAAGTTTCACACGCGCAAAAAAAATTATAAGAGTGTGGAATTTTCACACGATGTTCTCAAATTCTATAGCTAATATAATTGTACGCATGTGCATTGTGTACAACTAACTAATAACTATAATTTTCATTCATTAAATCTTCATGTTCATTAACTAACTTCCTATTATCTTCATTCATTAAATCTTCATGTTTGTTGAGATTTTCTTCATTTGCTTTCGCATTCATATGTTCTTCATTCACCAAATCTTCAACTAAACTCTCTATTTGTGTATTGCTCCTAAAAAACTTAAGAATATCTCCTTTTTGAGATTGAATCAATTCTTTTCTTTTTTTTCTTTTTTTTTCATGCCCAGATTCAAATTTTCTTGTATACATAATGATATCTCTTGAAATCTAAATAACAGGAACCATAATAAACATAAAACTAGACTTCAAAAAAATAATAATAATAATTTGCTTTGTTTAAAGAAAATATATATTACCTCGATATGCAATGATTTGATTCAAGTTCAAGGCAAATAACCTCACGAGATCCTAAGAAGAATGTCCTGCTAGCATGTGAAAGAAGATCACAATTAACATAAAACGGATGGAGAATCAAACAGAAACAATAATAACTAAGCATTGCCGATCATACAATAAATATAATATAAAAAAAAAAATCTAAAATCAAGCAGTTTGGTCGAATGATCTCCTGGCTGGAGTTTTCACTGGAATCCGGGGGAGAGGAGAGGAGAGGAGACAGAGTATCCAAAATACAGTCCAAAAGTGGAAATGAGGAACAGAAAACTGCAACTTCTTTTTTACATTCATTGTTTATGTAGCTGCTAAAATTTGATGATTACAGATGACAAAAATATACGGAGATGAGGTAACTATATATATATAGGAGGCTGAACTTGTAATGCTGAAGAAGAAGTGGGACTTTTAGGTTATATGTGGCATCCACTATCATATATAGTTTTGTCTTTCACTCTTTATATTAACTACACTTTGTGTGCGTTTTTTTTGGGAGCCAATTACGGTATTACCCCTTTCTTGATTTTAGGATGAGGAATCAACTTTAGTAGCAGTGACTGATTGATCGTTGCTACAGAAGACCTGTGCAAATTAATAGAAAAAACCATTAACTTTTGTTTTGTTAAAGCCTGCTCTTGATTTCTATGTGTTTGTACATTCGATGGCAAGTGCTTTGACAGTATTATTAACTGAAATTCTAGCTGAGCCAACTTTAAATAACATCAATAATGGTGGTATGTATCTTCATATAAAAATAGGGGTTAATTACAGTGACACCCCCTGAGATTTGCCATATTGACAGTCAGATGAAAGTTAGCCTATTTCTGAACAATCACAACCCCTCAGATTTGATAAAGTTGACAAAGACACTCCTACCACATTCAACACATGGTAAATTGACAGTATTACCCTTTAACATTTCCAAACCATTTTATTAAACTAAATTAACCCTCATCTTCTCTCCCCCTCTCTCTCTCTAGCCATAATTGCCCACCATCTTTCTTTTCCTCTCTATCTACACCTCTACCACCAGTGCCGCTGCCACCACCATCATAATCCATCACTAATAAAATCACAATTTGAGTGAACCCTATTCAACATTAAATCAATCCATATGTAAATTAATTTGAATACCAAGCCCAACATTCAGAATTTAATATATGCACATACATATACAAACAAAATCTTTACAAATGGGAAGCTGATCCAAGTGTTGATCAGAGGCAAAAATGTTTACCTGAGAGTAACATTTGAGCTATTGTTGTTTTTTTGGGAAGGTACGCTTAAGCCATCTTTGATCAAACCAAATATTGCCATTATTGGAAAGAAAAAAAAAAAAAAAAAAAAAAGGAACAAGAAGTCAATAATGTGCCCTCAGATTACTGGTTTACCTTTGTTTTTGTGCTATCAAGTCCCCATGTCAAGGGTCAAGATGTTAGAAATCAGGGGAAAAAATAAATAACAATAATGTGCCCTCAGATTCAATCATAGCCATAAATTTGGGAAAATATAGCAACAACACATACACTCTAAGCTAGGTAAGGACCATCGGAAAAATATAAAAATAATAACAATAAAATGGAATTTATTGGTAAGATTATGCCACGGCGGCGCACGGTTGCGGAGCGACGGGAAGCCTGGCAAGATCGCCATCAACTTGGTTGTCGTCGACGGGCTCCAAGGAACAACAATGGCCCTTGGGTCAGAGAAACGGGGAAGAGGAGGATTATAATTGCAGCAGCGGTGGACCAGATGCAACTACGGCAGCAATGGTGGTGGTTGCACCATCATCAATCAGGTGGAGGGATACAGAGACAAATTGGTCAATGATGATGGGGAGTTCAGGTCACTCCATCGTCATCGGTGCCTAATTTTGTTGTGTGTCTATAGATATAGATATATAAATGTGTATATATGTATATGATTTTGTGTATAAATTAGGATTTGGAGATGATGGGAAAAGGACTGACTGCCATTTTGTGTATATGTGTGAGACTTATGAATTGATGGTGTATTTCAGTGTTGTGATGATGGTGGTGGCTAGAGGAAATGGAAAGGGGAGAGAGAATGGGGCTCAAGAGATCAAGGGAGGGTTAAAGAACATTTTGGTCTCTCAAGGGGTATTTTGGTATTTTAAATATTTTATAGTTAGAAAGAATTAAATATTAACGGGCAATCTCGTCTTTTCTCATCTTTTAAGGGGCTGTTTGGATCAAATTTTTGAGAGGAGGTGTGATTGTCCAAAAAATGGCTAACTTTAATCTGGCTGTCAATACAACAAACCTCAGGGGGTGTGAGTGTAATTAACCCTAAAAATAAAATATAAAAAAACCCTTAATTTGGCACTTTTAAGTATGAGCATAATTTAGAGATCGAAAACCGGTTCAACCCCACTAGAAGGGATCCTTAATTTTCGTAGGAATGAATGTGAAAATGCAAAAACTTATGAGGAAAAGGGGTATGGTTGCTGCTATTGTGAGATTGGAGTGAAATAGGGAGAGGGAAAAAAAAAAAAAAAAAAAAAAAAAGTGTCTGCCATATATTATGGACTTGATCGCCATGAAAGACACATGTAGAAAGGCACACATTTATTAAATTACTAAGAGAACCATAATAAATTCATTCAGCTTTTGATAGCCATCACACACAGTGACACACACACACACACACAAAAAACCCTAGTTTGGAAGCTACATTTCACTATTGGAACAAAGGTAAAGGCCCAAATCAAATGAACCAAAGTTAGAACAAATCAAATAATGAGATGAAAGAAAGAAAGAAATATATATAAAAGATCGATTCATGCAAAAGGAGAGAGAAGAGAGAAAGAGGATGAACATACCTTGTCACCTGAGGTGATAGCGGAGGCTGCGCCCTGCGGGAGTGTCGAAGCCGATGGTGACATTGTGTCGTTTGAAACTTGCCCTAACTTTATTTTTTTTTCCATCCCCTATAGGCCTCAAACTTTGGGCCTCTAAAATTTGAGGCCCAAGGCAACCAATTTTTTCCATCCTCTAAAATTTGAGGCCCAAGGCTACTGCGTTGGTGGCCTTGGGCCAGGGCCGGCCCTGCATCAACAACCCTTGCTACCAAAAATAACTAAAATATTCTTTAACACCAATAATAAAATGGTTAAATTCATAAATAAGATATAATATTACACTACATAATTTACTATACCAAATTTGAAAATAAATAAAACTATCTAAAGACATTACATTATATAATAAATTAGTAATTATATTATAAATAAAGTTTATATTAAATTATTTTTTATAAAATATTATACCTGTGTTAAACACATAATATGATATTTGAGATTTTAATTAAATATTACAAGATATTCATATATTTAACAAGAATATTCATGGTATATTATATAATAAATATATAGCATAGACTATATAATATGAAATATAGTCACTACTCTGTTCATTAAAGTTAGATAAAGACAATGATAATGATAATGATAATGACAATTACAATATAATATATTATTAAATTTGTTACTTTTAGCTAATAAGTATAATATACAATTATGGAAAAAAAAAGTATAATATAACTTTATATTGATTATATTTACATTGCAAACTATGGTAAAAAAAAAAAATAGTCATGTCCTAGGTTGGAAAGAGAGATAGGGAAGTACTAAAATGAACCCAAAAATAAAAAAAAATAAAGAGTTAAAGATTATGGTAGAGAAAGAGGCTTAATGGTTAGGGTATTTTTGTCAATTAACAGGGTTGATATTTTGTAAATTAATTGAATTAAAAAACCAGGGACAATATGACATTTTTAAACTATAGGGGGTGTCATTGTTAAAAAAGATGTTGTCTCATATATAAGTGACATTGACTGAAACTTCAGGGGGTGTCAATGCAATTTACCAAAAAAAAAATAAAAAAATCCCGTTATGCAAAACAAATATGATGATGATGATGTATAAGGGCACAATTTTCCATACATGGGAAAGCTGTACGTTGAAGAGGAGCTGTGAGGAAGAAAAGAAGTTTCCTCAAAGAAGTTGTAAAGAGTAGGAAAGGTCAAGCAAAGAAAAAAATTATATTCATATATATATATAAAATAAAATTATATTATTATTTTATGATTGTATCATTGGCCACGTGTCTAATTTTTTTTAAAAAATTTATATATATAAGAAGTTGAAGAGTGAGGGAGAGAGAGAGAGTTATTACTTCCAAGGCCTTGTAGTCCAATGGTATCTCTTTTAACTTTTAAAGTGAACAGTGAGGGTTCAAATCTCCAAAGGAGTAAAATGGGTGTGTGAGTGTAGCGTGTGTGAGATTCTTGTCAATGATAAAAAATTAAAAAAAAAAATTTGTTTGATCGGTTAACTCTCTTAATTCATCATAGATCTTTGAATTATATGGGTATCCATTTTTTACCCATTATTAATCCAATCATTTGAATTTTAATTTCTAAATAATTTAATATTAGTAGGCGGGCTTAGACGGTTTAATGGGTTGTAATTGTCACCCCTAATTACAACCTGATAAAGTTGAATAAATTTTGAAAAGCTTAATCTGATTTCTCAATGAGCTCTCAAGGATTTTTAAAATGAAGCTTATGATGAAGCAACTAATGTTTGATAGATCAAATGAGTGAGCAAAACTTTCTTTCATAGTCTCATTTGAAAATATAGCAGTTATAAAACTTTGAGACTATTTGGAAATAGTTATAAATGAAGCGCATAAAAACTTTAAATTCATAAACATGTTTCTTCACTAGTCAACGTCTGTTCCAATTGAGCAAATGTCTTGCTGGTAAATTTTTAGAGCATTATGTGCTCCAACTGCAAGCCATCTCAGTATGGTGGAGCACTTGTTTGGCAAACGCTTCAGGGCTAGTATAATCATGGTTCACAGTATCGGTCGCTTTGTAACATATTCGAATAAAATTAGTGTAAACTGGTCGAACGGACCGATATGGAACCCTTGAAAAAGGGTCGTGTATCGGCCTATATATCGCTTGGCCACACCATTAATTAAGGACAAGTTGTACAAATAAGTCCTTGTCCTTGTTTCACTTTAATTTAAATTAAAAGCGTTCTCATTCCTTACAGTGAAACACCACCCCTTTTCAATACTTTGCCCTTATTGATTTGGAATTAAAGTGTGAGAGGTGAGTCATATTTTCTTAGGAAAAAAGAAAACAGTTTGTTTTTTTAGGATAGGTCGATTATTATCTCCTATAGTTTGAGCATGGAATCATCCTGCAACATAATCAATACTTCGAATTTAGATGACATATGAACTTTGTGGATAATTACACATTACTTTAGATTATATATGTAATTTGCGGGTGATAATATTCAAGATGTTGATGATTAATGTTAAAATATATTGTATAATATAATATTACTATATTGTATAATATATTCTAACCTTATATAAGATTCTCGTATATAGGATTCTAACCTTGTGTAGGATTATCATATATTTAGTTACCATATATATATAGGGTTACTTGTTTATCACACATAACCCCTCCTATATAAACCCCTCTTGTATACATATCTCAAACATCAATACAATATAGATATCAGAGCCTTTCGATGGTAAACAATCTACCAGTTTATCGTAGTCACTGCCGGGGATGGCACCATTTGCCCCATCCTCGGCAGCGACAATCAACTAGTAAACTCATGCTTTCGCACTCCAAGGTATTCATATGCCTTGATCTTCATACGCCCCATCTAAAGAAGCCTCATTGTCTTGTTGTCTAAGTCTTCCTTCAAGAAACCCAACAACATGCCTCGTTTAGAGATGCCCCGCCTAGGGATACCTCGTATAGGGAAGCCTCGTTATTTAACGAGATGTCTCATTCAGAGATGCTCAACATGTCGAATCACCTTCATCACCGCGCCACCATGCGCCTCAAGTGGTAATCCCACTCTTCCATGCACTTTCACGCGCCCCAGCAGTAATCCTGCATCTCAATCTGACACTTCGACATCGTGCCACCATGCGCCTCAAGTAGGTAATCCCACTCTTCCATGCACTTTCACGCGCACCAGTGGTAATCCCGCATCTCAATGTGTCAGATCAGCTCCGTCACCGTGCCACCACGTGCCATTAGTGGTTATCATGTACTCACACGTGTCTTCAACGTGGTGAATTAGTTTATAGTAGTTACCATCGGGGATGACAGCGTCAGATCAACGCCACGCCACGCCACGCATCATGCCACGTCAGCACCGCCACGTCAAATCTACGTCGTGCCATACGTCATCAGTTGCCACGTCAGTGCTGCCACATCATCAGTTACCACGTCATCATTTTCTTCAGAAGACCTTACAATTACGGTCCATCACTTCACATGATCAGATCCTGATGTTTTCACAATCGCTTCTGCCATGCTTTCAAGATCTCATTTCCAAATTAAAATGGTTTCATTCAATCCACCTAGATTTTGAGGGGGACTATTAGAATATATTGTAGAATATATTATTACTGTATTGTATAATATATTCTAATCTTGTATAAGATTACCTAAGATTCTAACCTTGTATAGGATTATCATATATTTAGTTACCATATACATATAGGGTTACTTGTTCATCACACATAACCCCTCCTATATAAACCCCTGTTGTATACATCTCATACACATCAATACAATACAATTTTTCTCAAAAAAAAATAATAAAACAAAATAAATGTAAACATTTGAGATAACTGTTTTGCCATTTGCTGATTTTTTTTTTCCCTTTTTTTAAAATGAAGATATTAAGAACTGAGTTTTGCTAGTTGTAAATGTAAATTGGCTACCTTTTTCATGCTCCATCTTCTAAAATGTTATGCTATTTCGAGTGAAAACTTATTTTTTAATATCTAGATTTCATCAAATACACATACTTAAATAATCATTTAATTTATTGAAAAGTAAGATTGTCGTCGGATGCACACCTCAAGACAGTTATTATTTGCTCTCTTATAAAATTCACACATTTTCAGTCCAAAAAATCTTAGACAAATAAAATAGCGTTGTTCATATTAAAATGATTCTCCATAGGAAAAATCATATCAAAGTATGTTAAAATAAAGTCATACAAGAAATTCAAAAATGAAGCTCTTAAGGACTATTCATATTCAAGTCAAACAAAAAAAATCCTAGTGGCTCCAACTACCAACCATCTCAATAATTGCAGTTTTAAAGGATTATTCGTTCATCCGTGTCTCTTACAATGACATAAATCGTGGTATTACACATTAAATTGTTACAGACAATAGTGTAATTGTTGCATATAATAGTCTCAAATAATTCTAGTATTCAGAAAAACTTCCATATTCAAGCCAACACAAAGCAAAGTCTCAGTGGCTCCAACTTCGAACCATCTCTTACAATGGCATGAGACGTGGTATAACACATCAAATTGTCTCACGTGGTATAACACATCAAATTGTCTTACTTAAGATACTTACCAAACCAATCCAACATATCCTGGTGGGCTTCTTCTGCATGCTTCAGAGCCTCTTCATCTTCATCCTCGTACCTCACGGCCCAACCGTGCGCAACCCCCAGGAATATCTTTACAAAGCCATCAACCTGGAAGCAATAACACATCTGTGATTTCTTTCTAGTTTTTTTGTTAATTGGCGTCGTTAATTTCTTGACTGAAACACAAATGCCAACCATGTCTGAGAATATGATTTGCAATAACTACCTTCAAGCAAGAGATGTTTTACCAAAAAATAAAAAACAGATTACCCAGTGTACCCGACCTACCCGTTCCGCCAACGAGGATGATGGGAGGGATGGACTAGATACGCAAATAACATTGGGTATTTTGAAAAAATGTGCATTCTTTTATACCCAAACCTACCTCTCGGAATACACAATCGGGGCATATTTTTACTGTTGCACAAAACAATGACCCTCAAGTAATATCTGAACCTAATACATATATTCCAATCTCTTTCTTTTTTGGTTTCCCTGTATATGTTTTAGTAATGCTCTATTCAAGGGTAATGCAAACTCAGAAACATCGACAAAGGTACTTATGGGTTCTCCATGTTGGGATTTATATGCCCTGGCATAGCAAATTCCTATTTGGATTATAGTGACATA